GGAGGAGTGTTCGGTGAGGTGTGCCCAGCTTCCCAGATTGCTCTCCTGGGGCTCATCCCACAGTTAACCATGACATTTTTGGTTGGCTGTTTTGTCACTGTTTCTTTTGCCTACACCTTCATTAGGGATGCATGGGGGAGAAATGAGCTCAGGCCCAGGATTTGGTACTCCTGGACCCCCAGTCTTCTCCAAAACCATACCATCATTTCTAACACCAGCATGATGGCACCCCAATTTCAACCAAAAGACAAGGACTAGAAAGTGTGCCTTGGGTTTCATAACAAGATCACGGGTGACCATGAACAGAGCTGCTCCACTGGCATGGTAGGAAGCACCATGCAATAGTGAGAAAGGAAGAGAGGGGGGGTGAGAAATAGAGAAACGTTTGCAGCCAACCCTTCCAAGGAACAGGAGGAGAGAGAGGGGTAGCAGTGGAGTGCATGGGGGTCAAGATGAGGAGGCAGTTGATGGGAATTGCTGGCAAAGAGGAAACACAGAGAGGGCTAGAGTCATGTCCCTGAGGGGGGCGGGGAGGAAGTTGGAAACACCCAGAGCACAAGCGAGGGGTTAGCTTTGGTTAGAGGGTCGTCCCTTTCATTCTAACAGTAAGATGAGAAAAGTCTTCTTATCTAGGCAAGTTTATACATTTGGTAAAGAAAGTTGCAGGAGTTGCTGTCTGATGGCTGTTTTCTCTGTGACATTGGGGGTGCTTTCCTGGGCTAAGAGTGAGTCAGAGTTTTAAGGAGGATGGAGTTTAAAGGGAATCTTGGCCAGTGTGCCAGGCAGGCAGTCTCAGGCAGGAGAGGCACAGGGAAGAGTAGCAGCTGGGCTGATCTCAGCTTGGGGTTTTGCCACAAGGGTGCAGTGGAAGGGCAGGAGGGCACGGAGGCTCATGATGATGGTGAGCATGATGGAGTCTGGCATGAGGGGGCTGCTGGGGAAGGTAGAGGAGTCATGGTGGGGGGGTTCAGGGAGCAGGGAGAGAGACCCGGGGCTGAGTAAGAGAGCTAGAAGCTTCAGCCAAGCCATGGGAGGGGTATGGGCAGAAAAGAGCAGGGCACAGCCCTAGAAGTGCCCCGGTGTGCATGCTTGTGTGTGTGTGTGTGTGTGTGTGTGTCTATGTATGTGTGTGGGGGGAGGGGAGCGCCGAGGGCTAGTCTCAGGCCTGTCTTCCCATACAGCCTGGCTTCCTCTGTGCAGTGCAAGCTTCCTCTGTGCAGAGCAAGGTTTGGCTTCTCTGGCTCATGAGGGTCTACGTGGGGAGCTAACGGGGAGGATACAACACAGAACAAAAGGAACTCTAGGGCCTTGTCAGGTAACAGGGCACTCTAGGACAGCACAGCCGCCCCCTGGCAGCACTCAGGAATGTGGGTGAAGCGTGGAAGACAGGCTCTTGACACCGGGAGTCTCAAGGAGGACATGAGCTTGAGTGAGAGGCTCTGACAGCAGGCACTTGAGTCTGTGTTCAGAAACTGGGGCGTAGGCGCAGAAGGAGCGGCAGTTGGACTGCTCCCAGCTCGGGGGTTCAGCCCCTGAGGCCCTGGTCTTCTCAGGTCTGGCGGTCCCAGCCAGGTCTTCTCCCACACATGAGTTCACAGCCACCGGCAGACACCAGAAAGCAGCAAACGGCAGACTCCGTCCAGGGCTGCTGACATCTGGGTTCTTAATCAATTCATTTATCTACTTGATGATGGTGGATTATTAACAACAAAAACAAGGAAAATCTCCCCAGTTCCCTGGCTAAGCCTGCATCTCTTATCACCCCCCCCATGGGTTAATATTCCCCCATGGGGAAAGCTGCCACCAAGAGATTAGTATTTTTTATTTTTTATTTTATTATTTATTTATTTATTTTTAAAAGATTTTTATTTATTTATTTGACAGACAGATCACAAGCAGGCAGAGAGAGGAGGAAGCAGGCTCCCTGCTGACCAGAGAGCCTGATGCGGGACTCAATCCCAGAACCCTGGGATCAGGGCCTGAGCCGAAGGCAGAGGCTTTAACCCACTGAGCCACCCAGGTGCCCCGAATTAGCATTTTTTTAAAAAGACATTATTTATTTGAGAGAGAGAGATGAGCATGAGCAAGGGGAGTGGGAGAGGGAGAAGCAAAATCCCTGCTGAGTATGGAGCCCTGCTCGGGGCTCAATCCCAGGACCCCAGGATCATGACCTGAGCTGAAGGCAGATGCTTAACTGACTGAGTCACCGGGGTGCCCTCAGATTAGTATTTTGCAAGGTGTTCAAGGAGCCTTAGCTTTGAAGATGTTTCAAGGACAAACGTTGAAAAGAGCTTTGGAAAATCCTGCATTAACACTCCCCTCTCTTGGAGATTCACAAACTGCATTCACATGCAAAGAGATCTGAAAAGTTTCATAGGAGAAACTTGAATTTTCTTTTAACTTTTTCAACCACAGAATCCACCCCCCTCCACAGTCCTCCTCCCATCATTACTCAGAACGAATATTCTCTGCATTTCACTGTGACATGACGCCAGCTCAAGAAACCACCTGCAGCAGACTCTCTGTATGGACCCAGCACAATCAACCCGTGTGGTTGTTGAGGATTACATGTACCCTGGGTTATCTAGCCGGTATGTCCAAACTTGGTGTCATTTAAATAGCTCTCTCTTGAGGAAGACTTTAAGCCCATTAAAGAGTGAAAATAATCCATGGCATGAATAGAATCATTTTACATCTGTGAGAAAACCCACAGTCCAAGAGTCAAGTTAACTCACACCCACAGAGTGTACTCTGCGCAGACATGGTGCAGACACGCATTCTCCGGGCCAGACGCAGCCTTATAAGGTGGCCTGACATTTTCTCATGGCCCAGGCCACCCTCCAAAAATATCCAGAGACAGAAGAAGAGTGGGAACGGACCTCCCCAAACATTTCAAAGATTAACAAGCAGGCTCTCCATTAAACAGGAGCGCTAACACCTGCTTTCTGACCAGCTCCAGAAAGCCCTCCAGGGTCCATGCTGGGGAGGGTTCTGCAGTGGGAGGAGAGTAAATAGATGGAGCTTCAAAACACACATCCAAGCCTTCCTTGCCCCAAAAAACAGTGTTATTTCCTGGACCCCTCCAGAATATGCCTTAAGGTCTGACTGCCTTTGCTTTATATGGACAATAGAGACCCGGGACTAATTTCCATTCCTGCGCCTTTCAACCCCTTCGGGGTCCTGGGGCTGAAGCCGGTTCCAAATGCCCGGCTTCCAAAGACCCGATCGCTTGTGAGGTGCTGCCTCCTTGCGGGGGCGCGACGCTACAACAACGCAGAAACGGAGGCCTTCCGCCAAGGGGCGGTATCTGGAAGTGCCATCTGGACTGCATCCACGAAGGTCAAAGATAGACGTGAAAGTGCGGCTGTGCTAGTAAGTCTACGCTCTGGAACTAGTGAACAGAAAACACAACTTTCATACATAAAGAGATTTATGAAATGGATACTAGGTGCTTAGATACACAGCCTTTCTCATTTTATTTTACTCATTTTATTTTACTCATCATCGAATGGGACTTCTTAGGGTGAACTGCCTTTTCTGGGGGAAAAAAAGATGACTTCTGGTAATGAGACCTGCGCCAGTAACACTAAGGAGTAGCTTTCTAAATTTGAAAACAAAAAAGACTAAATAGTCGCTCAGATTTAAAAGGAAGTGTTGGTCAAAGACCCGTGCAGCTCTCTTGTAACTCTGGTTCTCAGTTGCAGGCAGGGAAATGTTCATTTGTATGGCTATTTTTGGTAGGAGTTGCTTAGAACAGTTTCTTCACCACTAAACTGTATGACAATGAGCCAGTCCATTTGTAAGACTGGGATTTTTTTTTTTTTTAATAATATGAAGAATTGCAAAACTAGTCTTCATTCTTGTTAAAGGAAACAGAACAACACAGCGGTATTTTTGGAACACTGTGTGTAACAGTAGGTCTCTTAATTATACCAATGGTAATTCCTCAGGCTAGAGCTTATTAACATAGTACACATAATTGCCACAAAATATGACGATGACAAATTAGAAAGCACTGGTTTCCCACTACCACCCTGAGATTGTAGAGGTTGTATTTTCTGGAAAGCCTCTACTATTAACTCTACCATCTGTTCCTCAACTTTAGTTGAAATGATTCTTTTCATAAATGAACTGCCTAGCTCTGAAACAGACCAGACTGTACGAGAGGAGTGCTTCTGCTATTACTGTGCTGGTCACGTCTGAGCCGCAATCAGACAGCAGGTAGAAAGCTCCCTTGGAATGAGGACCACAGCCTTGGACAATAGGATGGTTAGCTCTGAGAAAGCCTCAGCCAACCTGACAGTAAACGTGTTAACCGCTGGCCACACACGAGAAAGATCACTCAGGGATCACCCGCTAGACAATGCCCACACCACGGATCCATTGGCGCTTTCATTTTGAGGTGAAGAGATCTGGGGTCTAGAACTCTTAAGACGGAAGTGGCTGGGCGGGGTGTATCCTGTCCGTCTCCCTCCCACCACTGCCTACTGTGAACTTGAGAGTGAGTAAAGCGGTTCCTAGAATTGCTTTGTATTTGGAGGTATTTTTAGGAGGTATTTGACTACCTCTTGTTTCAATATGAGATGAACATTGCCAAGCAACAGTATTTTCCTTCTTAACTTATATTAGAAAAGTTAGATTAAAAGAAATTGTAAAAAACAAAACAACAACCCAAAACATTGTTGAGAAGGACCTCAATCGTTTACTGATTTTCTTAGACTTTCTCGTGCCTTCCATGAGTAATCCCACTTGTCCCCTCTGTGGCCAGGCTGAGAGGGGTAAGCTTGAAGACTGGCAGGAAGAATGACTTTTTGGAAACCTCTTAATATATTCTATTTCTCCTGTGTAAGTACATTATAAATAGCAGAGATAAATTTTAACCTATCAAAGAAAGAACTGGAATCCACGACAAAACTGAAACTCTCCCATATTCCAATACCACATTCAGGCCAACTTCATGTGAAAAATCACTAGACCTGCTTACTGGTTAGCATTTCAAATCCAGGCAGAGCACACAGTTTATTTTGAAATGCAACACATCAGTATTTTATGAATACAACTTATTACTACATTAACATTATCAGGTAAAAACAGCTTCCAAATGCATGCATAGAAAGTTAGGTATAGTCTTTGAACTCCTTATTTCTAAATATACAAAAAATACATTTAAATTATATAATTTTAGTGAATCAAAGACTTATAAAATTACAATTTTGGTTTTCACAACATAGAAAAAATACAAAAATGGACTATATATATATGGTCATATAATTTCTTACCCAAATTTCAAAGGAGCAGTATGTACTGGTTTTGATGTTTTATAATGTTTTATCTAGAAACTCAGAACTGAAAATAATTTGTAGGTTGTACCACATCAGTGCCAATCATTTGTTATAAACGAATAATCCAAACAAACCAGTAGAAACAAGGGCACCATCTTCATAGGCCTCTTTATCTCTATCTCTTCTAAACCCTTCCTGTGGGAAGTTCGCTCCAAAGGAATGGACTTTATCTGGAAGGACAGTGCTTTACTCCATGACTAACTCTCCACGGTGCCTCTGATAATGGGGAGTACGTGTTAAATGAGTGATCCCAACCTGAGCAAACAGAACGCAGCAAGATGCAGATTGGCAGCTTGTGTCTACAAAGCACGACTGTGTAACTCAAAGAATTCTCTGCCGGAAGGCAGTCCACGAAGTGGGGGGATCTGAAACACCCACCAAGGTGGGTGGCGGGGCCGAGGATGTCTTTGACCGTGTCTTGAAATGAAAACAGCAAGTCTGACAAAAACACCCACCAGACACCGCCTTCCTCATTCACACTTTATAAGATGTGACAGTTGGTAGGGTTAGATGTTCTCCGTTCGTAAAAGAACACCGCCATGTCAAAGGAGAAATTAATTCACGGCTGGGATAAAGCGGCCAGTTACCGAGAGAGGTGGATGAAGGACACGGCCGTGTGCATGCCTTACTTATCTGCTGTGAGCATTTTAAATGTCGCCGGACAAAAATACACAATGGGGTGGAGACCCTTCATGAGGAGGGAGTTGCTTGCTGTGTTCTCGCTGCCCAAGTTCAATTTGATGCAACACCACTGTCTGGGACACTGTTCTTCATAAATAGTGACAATTTATAACACAGAGGCCCAAATACAACCCCCAATCCAGCGATCCTGGAAAACCTACATTTGTCATCGCATATTCTATAACTATTCCAGAAATGACTGAGAAAAATCTTACCCAAACTAAGCAGTAAGACTAATATAACTCAAATTGTTTCTATTTTACAGTAGAAATACATTCTGGAAACAGAAAAAGAAAAAAACATGAAAAATAATCTTTCCTCTATATTTAGTTGATGCAGTACAAGAACAGATCCTAATCTCCCCATGCCCAAGTTAAGAGTGCTGACTTAAAGAAGCAGAATTTTAATGTTCAATTCAAAAATGATTTTATTACACATCTGCCTGCATTAAATTTTAGGCTCCATACTTTCTTCTCATCTTCCTTTTAATGATCAGGCTTCTATGAAAATAACATTGAAAAAATTAGTTTTCCCTTATGACACTCTTCAGATATTAGCAATTATATTTTAAATAACTACTCAGTAAGCTAGTAAGCTAGGTTTTTAAAAATTTAAAGATCAACGGCTTATAAAAAAGGGAGAAAAGAATCCACAAAGAACATTCTGTGTTTAAAATTTAATGCACATCTGAACTTGGGCTTTACATTTTCATCAGCTCTCTCTTGAAGAGCCTTAAATGCACAGTTGAGCAATTAAATGGTAAGAAAACATGACAGTAATTAGACAAGGTCCACATGACTCAAGTATTTCTTAGCTCCAACACATGGAGATGATACTGCTTTTAGCTCATGTCTGCCCGACTGGAACACTTCACCGCTCTGGACTTACAGCTTGGTGGGAATTACACAGGACCATAATTAGGCAAAGTATTCTAACAGAAGAGTTGAATGAAATCTAAAAATAAAGTAATAAGGGTATAGAAACCTATTCCTAAATGTTCTTCAGGTCTGTATTTCTAAAGTAACACCTTCCATGTGCTTTTAATTACAGACTCTCTACCCCTTATGTGACTTGCCTGGCTTTGGGTCCCTAAGGGAGAAGAGCTATGGGTAAATACATTACTCAGAGGCATTCTGAGAAGGACACAGTGAAAGGTACTTGTCATTTACCAGCGAGTGAGCCTTCCCTTTCTGAGAACTGTCACTGGGTTAAAATATGATCGAGACTGAGCCCTAGATAAGATAGGTTCTCTACGAAGTACGCATACTTAATAAATTCAAGCATTTTCCTCAGTGGCAGGCAGTAATGACTCAACTGAAAACAAACAAAAGTGTTCTAGTTGTTTTCCGGTTACAGGTACTACCCCAAAGCTTCACAGACATATACGTGGTATAATTCATTCACTAGGTAGGAGGGGATAGGTCCCAGCCAGAACTTCATAACATTCCAGAGAACAAAGTTTGCCGCTTCAAAAATACGGTTTCCAGCATGCAGTCAAGCACTTTGGAAAGGGAATGCGAAACACACTGCAGACCGAAACAGAACTCTACTGTGAGGTGGGCATTTGGTGGGTACAACTTCCTTACTCTGACTCTAACTCCCAGGTAGTTAGTGTTACAGATCTTTACTAATCACATACAGGGAGGAAACAGGCAGCTCTAAAACGGCCAGATCCCCTTCCAGCGCCTTCAGAAATACTGGGAACATCTGGTTCAAAGAGCATGCTGGAATGGACCAGTCAGGATGTTTTACGTAAGAGTTGTGGTTGTTGTTGCTGTCGCTGTTGTTTTAAATAAAATCCCAGGCCTGTGTGACACTGGATTTTGGTTTTTATTTTTTTTATATTTTTAAAAATAGTTCTTACTTATTTTCTATGAAATGTATTGGGAACTCAAAAAGTCTGCAGCATTTTTTGTCATTGAAAAGTTTGTTTTTTGGGGGTGCGCAGGAAGCAGGAGTTAGTCAAATTTCTTGTGTTCTTCAGTATGAGAAAGGACCTTTCTTCTCTGGTGTATCATGTGGAAGTATAACTGGGGAAAAACTGAAAGAAAAGAAAGAACTGGTTAAGGAGACAGGTCACTTGAAACTGTGTGCTCTGTTTAAAGCACATGGACTTGGGGTCCTCTTTGACTCTACTTTCTCATCCAGCAACCAAAGAAGGGAATTCGGTGGGCTTGGGTAAGGGGAGGAAAAATTCACAGGAACTTACCTTTCCCTGCTTTAGCTGAAGGGGAAGAGTGGTCCTGACTGGACTGACACACAGTACCATCACTCTCATTATCCACTGAGATGCCACAGAGTCATCAAATGGCACTCCACCCTCCCTCACAGTATCTTCACATTTATTCTGATTTTACCAGTAGGTGAATTCTAGTGACAGACTTACTATTCCTGTTTACAGAGGAGGAACTCAAGCCCCAGAGAGGGAAGGTAATTTGCCTGAGGTTTCCCAGCAAATTCCTGACAATCAGGACCAGGCTCTGGGTTCTTGACACTCCTAAGAACCCCAGTCCCTTCTGTCACCTGAGGGGATTCTCCGGAAAGCGCTTCCCGAGAAAGGTTGTTCTTTGAGTGGGAAGACTGAGGAGGGGTTAGAGGGCCCTGACATTTTAACTGAACACGAAGAAGCCAAGTTTGGATGGAGAAAGTCCTTATGAAAAGTAAGCTAATATCTTAGGCACCAGAGATCCTGTTCTTGGTCATTTCTTTTTTTCCATCCTTAAAGATTTTATTTATCTTAGAGAGAGAAAGAGCAAGGGTGGGCACAAGCAAGTGGGGAGAAGGGGAACGGAGAAGGAGAAAGAAACTGAAGCAGGCTCTACTCTCAGCACAGGTCCTGAGTGCTACTCCATTTCTTGACCCCGAGCTCAGGACCTGAGCCGAAAACCAAGAGTCAAACGCTTAACTGACTGAGCCATCCGGATGCCCCTGTTCTTGGTCATTTCATAAGTTACTTTAAAAAGTACTGGTTCCCAAAGAAACAAGGTGGTACCACCTCCCTAGGAGGATCTGGAAGCTGTGGGGAGGGGAGATTTGGAGGAGGGAGGTTACTGGCATTTAGCACAGGAAGCAGGAATGCCAAAATCTGCGGGGGGTAACAGTCTCCCACAACTAAGAACTGTCCTACCCCAAATGCCTACAGGATTCCTGCTGGGAAATGCCATCTGAAGCTACCTGGCCTTCACAAGGTTACTGTGAACTGGCGGTTCAACACCCATGGAAAAAAACCCAGTGAGATGGTCTTAAATGTGTACTATCCTGCTTTCTCTTCTCCACAGCTTCAATCTCCATTTTGTAGAAAGTAACCTGTATTTCTGGGGAGGTAATTTCTACTATTCCCCTGACAGTTTCTTCCTTTTATTTTTTTTAAAACCCAAACCCATGACCCTGAGATCAAGAACTGAGCCAAAATCAGGAGTCGGATGCCTAACTGACTGAGCCCCCCAGGTGCCCCAACAGTTTCTTCCTTTTTCAATGGGTTCCAAGTTGGCCAAATTTCCAATGATCCTCCCCAAGTCCTCCAAGACATCAGTAGGTGTGCACACACAGATCTGATAAACTGCAGGGGAGGCTCCGACGCTGAACAGGGCTGCCATCCACTCCACTCGCTATCTGTAGGCAGGAAGTTATTCAGAGAAAAGACCCAACTTGTGCATATAATTCAACAGGGGAGAGAACTATTCTGGTACAAAAGCCAGAAAATTTGACAAGCTCTATAATCTAAAAACTGGAAGTAAAGATATAATTAAACCATAAGGAATGCTAATTGCAATCATTTAAAAATATGGGGCCAGTCATATTTCTGTAGATATACTTTACAAAAGGGAAAATTTGTGGCAAAATACACTAAGGACTTTTCCACCGGGTGCAGGGGTGGCTAAAGCTTGCCTGCTAGTTCAGAGGGTCTGAGGAAGGATGACCTAGAAAACGTTCACCAGACCTTTTGGCAGTTAAAGCAAGATGGTGGAGTATCCTCATCCCCATAGGCATGGGCCTGCTGGCTAGTCAGAGGTCAGAAATGGAGGGCAGATATGGCCCTTTCAATTCTTTTTTTTTTTTTTTAAGATTTTATTTTTATTTATTTGACAGAGAGAGATCACAAGTAGGCAGAGAGGCAGACAGAGTGAGAGGAGGGGAAGCAGGCTCCCTGCTGAGCAGAGAGCCTGATGCAGGGCTCGATTCCAGGACCCTGAGATCATGACCTGGGCCGAAGGCAGAGGCTTAACCCACTGAGCCACCCAGGCGTCCTGGCCCTTTCAATTCTTTACAGTTTCAGAGGTTTCTCAGTGCCCAAGCAAAGGAATGTCTGTGTGGGAGGCCAGGAGAATGGGGGCAGTTGGGCCAGAGGTTCTCTCTCTACAGTTCTACTAATGACTTCTTGGTGACCAGAACTTGGGTGACACTATCTCCATCTGAATTACCCACTTTTTTTTTTTTTTTAAAGATTTTATTTATTTATTTGACAGAGACAGCGAGGGAGGAAACACAAGCAGCGGGAGTGGGAGAGGGAGAAGTAGGCTTCCTACAGAGCAGGAAGTCCCGACACAGGGCTCAATCCTAGAACCCTGGGATCATGACCTGAGCTGAAGGCAGTTGTTTAACGACTGAGCCACCCAGGCGCCCCAAATTATCCACATATTTAGACTGGACCCAACTGTAATGGCTGAAACAATTCCAAATGCATGGCTATTCTTTTTAACCATAGACGATAATGAAGAAAAACCCCAAGAAAATCTCAACCTGACAACAGGCTATTCTGAATTCTACCTTCTGCTTTCCTAGTCCAGGATACATGGAATAGAGATGGTCACCATGCATGCAAGTGTTGCGGAGGGGAAAGGGTTTCCTCTAGGGAGAGGAAAACTTGGAGGCTGAGAGCAAATGGAAATGCTCTGCCTGGGACAAGTTTTTTCTTGGTGTCTCTAAAAATCTGAGGTGTGGTTATGGTTACTGACAACCTGGACAGCGCCCAGCTTCCCAGTGTCCTCACCCTCCACCACTGTTTCTCATTTCTCAGCTTTTATTTATTTATTTTTAAAATTCCTACTCCTATTGGGTGATAAAAGCCAACCTTTACCAGTTTGGGGGGGGGCAGGAAATGTAGATAGGACTTAGACGTCTACAGAGTCCTATTGGTATTGTTCACACTGCAGCTGCAGCAAAGTGGGAAAGGACCGCCTTGCAGGGATCCCAAAGCACCCCGATATGAGAAAACTCCCAGGGCCATGGCTCATGGGCCACAGTCTGGGCCACATGTGCAACAGTGCAACAACTGGTCAGGACTGTAAAGAAAGGGTGTTACTTCGTATAATACATGTATATCACCAACTTCGCATTAAAGAAGACTAAAAGAAACTTAAGTTGTAAAAAGAAAACCAAATTTGATAAAGAAAACTGGATGTCAAAAGCAACCCCTCTTAACTCTGCATTTTCTTCTTACAAATACAAAGTTTTGGAAAGCTGGAAATGTGCTGCTGGCTGTAATGAACTGTACAAATTGGTCTCAACATGAACAACCAAAGCAACTAAAAACAGGCAGGGCAACTGGCTCAGGCCAAAGGCATAACGAGTGCCAGCAGACACGATTTGTAGCAGAAGATACGGTCCCAGCGGTCATCCTGAGCCTGGGTGCGGGGTCAGGGACTGGGAGAAAATCTGTTCATCTTTACTTGAAATCAACCCTTTTTCCTGGACTACAGGAGTTAAACTACCTTAAGAAAGAAATAATATAGACTTTAAGCCAAGTTCTTACCAAAAGGAGTCTGGGAACCAAAGAACGGGAAGGAACCAAGGTAAAGAAAGCCAACTTTGGTTGAGAGCCCCGCCTACTCTGAGTTTTCTTTCCTTTCTCCATCTGAATGCCCAGAAGGAAAATCCCACAGAATGGGATTTATTTTCCTTCAGGAATCCTGTCACTAGGGAGGGCTGCTGTGCTTGACCAGGCACCTTAACTAGATCAAGGGGTCAGGAAGAAAGAGGCAACAACAGCCTGGGCGCTGGCGAGCCACCAGAGAACAAAAAACCTAGGAGGTACAGAAAGACTGAGGCTGTCCTGGAGAGCTGCTCCAGGACCCTCCTTTGGCACACCAAGATCTTAGAGCAACTCCGAGGTAGGGGCACCAGATTTCTGTCAATGTGGCAGCATCCTGCTCTTGTTTGATTTCATCACACCCTCCCTGCTCCTTTTCCAGTTATTCAATCTGGCATCTCTTATTCATTCAAATCTTATGCTGATTTTATTTTACTTTATGAAAGATTTTATTTGAGGGGGCAGGGGGAGAGCGAGAAACAGGCTTCCTGCTGAGTGTGAAGCCCACCGTGGGATTCGATCCCAGGAACCCGGGCTCATGACCTGAGGTGAAGTCAAGACACTTAACGGACTGAGCCACCCAGGCACCCCCTTATGCTGACTTTTAATAAATCCTGTGGTGCCCACTGGGATAATATGTGTCACTCTGGGTTTGGCAAAACTCCAAGTAGGAACTGTTGCTCCAGAGACTAGAAAGTGAAACTCTAAGGGAACAAAACTAAAAAGATGAACAACTGGAAGCTAATCTTTATTAAATTTTTAGACTCTTCCCTATTTATGTTTTCTGTGAAAATCAACTACCTTTTTCAATTTGAAGAGAAAAGGACTTTGGCCACCATGGTTCCAACACCAAAGAGGAGAACTTGATAATTAATAAAGAGTGGAAAATGAATCATTAAGCAGAACTGCTGTCCAAGAATTTCTCCAAGATAAATGCTCACATGAAATCTGGATGTAGTTTTTTTCTCACAATGCATGAAATGCAATTTTCCACAGAGGGACACAAACATGTCGCTTACGATTATTAGGATGATTCATTCAGCTCATGCTGTGGGCTGAAGAAAAATCCAACCGTCCTGTCTGAATTTAACCTGAGGTTTATGGAAGAATATAGCATCTTATAGACTAAAATAAGAATCACAGTTGCAATGGCTACAGAAATAGCTAAATGAGAAGAAACCCTAACTTCCTACGTCCTTGGGTAAAACAAAATCCTTTTGTTTACATGAAAATCAGTCCTAGGATTTTAAGTGAATATCTGAATTCGAGAAAAGGACTAAACAGCTCTTCCTCAGCAAATAGGACTCACTTCACAGAAGCCTCAGACACGGCCATTTCTCCTTGGTACCGAGTACACTGATAGGCACTTTTGATTATCCATATTTAAACTTTTAGCAGTACTATTAAAATAACTGGAAACTGTTCTGAAGAAAACATTATGTCCTGGTCAGATGATTTTAGTGCTTACTTCCAAACAAGAAAATAAGAAATATAGAAGAAAAAAAAACCTGTTTTTATTATTTCTTTCTAATTAGCTGCTGATTCCTTAAAAATGAAGTGTCTATTTTGATATAATGAAAATGCAAAAATCTCTTTACAATGTTTTCCAAATACCCTAAGAAGTAGTTCTCCAGAGACAGAAAAAGTCAAGGCCTTTTTTGTTTGGCACTCAGTACATTCCCCCAATAGGTAGTTCACCTTTCCTGGTGTTCAGTGTTTCAAACCCACACATGCAGAAGGGCTGCATTTTGGCAGCTGTACTGAGAAGGGTTCATCTTTATTCAATTACTACTAGAGAAAATCCCCTCTGATGGCATTCAATAAAAACCAAAGCGTTCCTAATAAATTAGATTTATATACACTTGGTTATGGTATAAAAACATTCAAAGACATTTGGCTCTAATTACTGTAGAGCCAATTTTAAAAACATAAATAAATGTATGCATAACTGTTTACTTACTTGGAATGTAGGAGATCATTATCAGAATGAGGAATGCATAATAGTCAAAGGAAAAATTGTATTTGTTGGGCAGACTGATGGAGTACAGGCCAGCCTGTCGGACAAAGGGCAAAGCGGCATATATTGTAAGCAGTTCTCCCGACACTCCCATTGGGTACAGCACAATGAAAAGTGTGTACCTAAACAAAACAAAATATTCATGACTGAGGATCGAAGCCAGCATTAGTAGAAAGATGCATTCACACTTCTCTGATCAGTACTGGTCTTTCAGGAAGCTACTGTTTCTACATTTTCCTGTTTAACCACTGTTTGTTTCTTTCTTTCTTTTTAAAGCACGTTCCATGTCCAACATGGGGCTTGAACTCATGACCTATGCTCTACCGACTGAGCCAGCCAGATGCCCCTGTTTACCCATGGTTTAAATTCAGGTTTTACAAGCCAGTTTTTGAAAAGGGCCAATAGCAGGTATGTCTCTGAATTCTAAAATAAAATAAATGTCTTTGGTCAGCCTCAATTTGGTCCAACTAAATAAACAACATCCAATATAACTCCCTAAGATAATAAAGAGGATGCCAATCATTGGTAAAGGAGGGGCACCAAGTCATGGTTTATAGAAGGGTCCTGCCCTGTGGCAGGGGTGGGAGTGGGGGGGGTTTGCAGGGAGTTGGTGGGGGAGGTGTTGGAGCACGTGTCCATGAACCCCTCAAAGCACACCACATCTGGTCTGTGGACTGAGAAGGATAGCACAGTGAGTGTGCTTCTACAGCTACCACTAGTCAAATGTCTATACATACCATTGTGAAAAAGGAAATACATGCCAATTTTAAAAACCTTAAAAAATTCACAATAGGTTTTAGTCATTATGTAATTTTTCAATAATAAAAACCCTTATAATAACTATCACATAGGAGAATCCAAACCATTTTTTTTTCACTTCAAAAAGGAGTTCTCTATGTTTTAAAAAGAATGCAGAGAAGAGTTCATCCTATGGAGCTAACTGTCATTCTGGGGTGTAAGTATTGCTGAAGAAACCATCAGCTCAAATTTTAAAGGGGCTCTGGCTGTTTGTGGCTGACAGTGAGCAAATTTCTAGGCACAGAAGTTGTGCTGAGAAATCAGTGACAAAAAGCAGAAGCCATGTTTGCTGTGTTCCCTGCTGCCAACTTCAACTATGCTAGAGAGGAAGGGTCTTCCATAGGCTGTGGACAACCATGGACAAAAGAATCATTCTCCACTGTTAAGATCAGGGATTGGCCAGCAAACTCTCCCTGTAACAGAGCAGACAGCTCCCACAATGCCTGCCCAGGTTGGTGAGTTACTAACTGCCATCTCTTCCCATTCTTCCCTTTTCCTAATAAAATTATGCACTGGGAAAAGGAAAAAAAAAAAAAAAAAGGAGTTTACACGCTTGAAATGTTGGAAGCAATTGGTTTATGTCTCTAACTAAATCATCAAACTCCTAAGTTGTCTAGGAACCACCATTTTCCTTCTAGGAAATGAGACATTTGGGGCCCAAGGATAATTCTGATCCTTTTGCTTTGTCACTATCCCTATAGTCCACTCCAACTCAGAAAACTGCTCACAACTATTTCATGAATTAGCTCAGACAAAGAGATGAACTGTCAGCCTTTTTCCCAATTAATAACAAATATTACTGGTAAAAATTATCAAAGCCAAATAAAATTGCTAACAAGATAAAAGTGCATGTAACATTGGTTATTAATTAAAAATTAAGAGTCAGAGCTTGTTGGCAAAACTGAGATTAGGAGAATTGGACTTGGTCCAAAAAACATAATGGCAGGAGCTCATCAATAAAATTTGCTATGAACAAAAAAGGAATGTTACATCAAATCTCTATTGAATAATTTAAATGAAAATATTCGATCCAATAAAAATAACAAGGATATCAAACTTAAAACAGTGTTTCTATTAATCAAAGTGAAGTAGCATCCCTTATCCTGATGAAATTCACAGACCAGTTTCCTATCACCAATCCCAACTCTTGTCTCATACAATTAAAAAAAAAAAAAATATATATATATATATAGTTGACATCATACAACTTTATTTTTAGGAGCTTGGAGGGCAATATTTAGCAATAAAGGACAAATACACAAATACAGTGATGGGTCATTTCAAAGTTATTCTTCATCCCATGTACTTTACCTGGCCCATTTGATGAGGTAAGGCAGATGGTTTAATAGACTGAAAGTATAAAAGGAGTAACGGATAATTTCTGTCATTGTCCAGGCAATAACATACAGGAGGACACTGTCTTCACTCTGCACCTGAAGGAAAAGGAAGACAAAAGCAAAAGCAAACACATAAAACATTTTAAGAAAGAAGCACTCCCAGTGTGCAGCGCCAGCCCCCTGCTCCCTTGCAGAGCCGAGCGGTTGAGCAAGTGGACACAGCCCTGGTCTGATCACCTGTGGCCACAGGCCAGGGGGAGCTTGCCACATACAGGAACACGTGCCTATGACAGCAATCGTGTAGAGCCACGTGATTAGGGGCAAGTAAGAAGAACTCAGCTTACTCATGAGTCAGAGAGGCAGAAACAGGAATCCCATGAGCTACAGGCCACAGGAAAAAACACAGATGAGTGAGTTTTGTCTTTGGGCTTCCTGTGGAGAATGTGGACTGATGTTAGTGGGAGCCAAGACTAGTTAAAGAAGGTAGAAGGGCAAATTGGTAGGAAGCCTGGGGACTGTCTATCAATAAGAATTTTAATTTGATTTGTATGACAACTAAGAATCTAAGGAAACTTCAAAGAAGGGGAATGTAGTGATTGAAACGCAACTGAAGACAAGGCTCATTCACTAGGCAGGACGAATTCCAATTGAGCAAAGAGCCAGAGACCACCTGAAAGGCAAGGACCATTTATTCTCTCCCACTGTGACTTCTTCCTCCAGATGAAGCCTGGTTTAACCTAAAAATTAAAGAAGCTTCCATGCTGACCACCAGAGGTGGCTAAAGCCAGAAGGGCTCTGGACTTTCCAAATTCCTCTGAATCACTTTACTTTAATGCTGAAAATGCAATGAACTTTAAAACGGCAACCCCTCCCTCCCCCTCCCCCCCGCCCCCAGTGGTTTTGGGGGGCCATTCTCACTAGATGCCTTGGACTGCAAATCTCACATGGAAATGTACCTCAGCTGCCCTGGCATTTGCTTTCAGTGCCTCCACCAGCCCCCCAACCAGGTTTATAATGATCTTGGGTCCAGGCTTGAAGACCAGTAACAAGAAACTACCTTGCAACCAATTCACTCACGTTTTCTTGTATCTGAAATAGGCAGTTAGAGAGCTGGATGTGACTGAGAAATTCTACTGAGTGAACCGAACAGATTGACAAGATGGATCTGTCTCATTCCTAATGCCTAATACAATAAAGGTACAGCATTCTAACTTTAACTTTTCTTCTTTGCATTTGCAACGTGAATAGTTTTTAACACTTACATTCTTCCTCAGAAAGTGTACATGGAGCGATCCACCTACACAATAAAATAACTAGTCATTTACATACCTATTAACTAAATTGCTCTGACAAAGAATTTCATAAATGCATAGTTACTAATCCCTAAAAATAATAAGAATTTTACATTGTCAAGAGCAAGAGTACTTCTTGTTTTCCTGGTGCTCTCATATTAGCCAAAGTAAAACCCAAACACTTCTGAAGCTTTTATGTTTCATTTTTCAGTCTGTCTCCAAATCCTTGCTTAAAATCCATCTATATCAAAACATAATTTCAGAGCACATTTTGCTTTTTGATGTATTTTATAATCCTCTTCATCTTAAGGAGGTGTGTTTTACAGTTATGGGATGAAGCCTTGCTTACAGATCTCTGGGTTGTAATAGAAAGTTCTTCCAATATTTTGCATTCTAAACACCTTGGAAGCAGGGAGTGTGTTTTATTCATCTTCTGATTCCCAAAAGCACTTTGTGCTTTTTACAAGTAGGAGCTCAATAAATGTTTGTGGAACAAACAAATTCAATTCGCATCAGGTCACCCCAAGACTAAGTTCCTGCTTTTGATACCTGTTATTAGTTTCTGTGTAGTTTTAAGCGGCCTTCAGAAAGACAAGTAACAAACCCCCCTCAAACCTTGCACTTTGATCCAGCCTAATCGGACTCATTTCCCCCCACACCCAAGTTAGACTTGAACCAAAAGAACTATAAAAGCTCAGACTCAGGCTGAATTTGTGAAAGCAGCTGCTTCCAGAGCCCAGCTGTGAAGACCAAGTTACAATTTTAAAAAGACAGAATGGGGGAATTGGCCATTTTATAAATGGTATCTTCAGATCAATAGGAAATACAACACTGTTATTAAGAAGGGACTTGGAAAGGGGTGCCTGGATGGCTCAGTCAGTTAAGCATCCAACTCTTGATTTCAGCTCCGGTCTTAATCTCAGGGTCATGAGTTCAAGCCCCACACTGGGTTCCACACTGGGTGTGGAGCCTCCTTAAACAACAACAACAACAACAAAAACAAGGGACTTGGGTAAAAGTTGGAGATCAAGCTCATCTGATTTGCAGATAATTACCCAATGACACAAAACAGGGGCAGAATGTAAAGAGCTGAAGCTAGTAAGATCAATGAGACTCAAATGTATATTTGTATACCTGTGTTGACAGGAGTGTTATTCACAACAGCCTAAAGGTGGAAACAGCCAAAATGCACATCAACAGATGAATCTGTAAACAAAATGGTGTGTGTGTGTGTGTGTGTGTGTGTGTGTGTGTGTGTGTATGCAAAGGAATATTAGCCTTAAAAAGTAAAGGAATTCTGACACATGCTACAACATGGATGAACCCTGAACACAATCTGCTTAGTGAAGTAAGCTGGTCACAAAAGGATAAACACTATACAATCTCACTCCTACATTACCCAGAGTAGTCAAATTCAGGGAGACAGGAAGCAGAAGCAGAAGGTTGCCAGGGGCTGGAGGGTGGGAGGAAATAGGGAATAGTGTTTAATGGGTATAGAGTTTTGCTTTGGGAAGATGAAAAATGCTCTGGAGACAGAGGGTGGTGATGACTGTACAACCATGGGAATGTACTTACTGCCCCTGAACTATACACTTAAAAATGGCTACAATGGCAAATTTTGTTATCTGTGTATTACCACAATAAGAAACCCAGGAAGATAAAATTTAACAAGGTTAACTGCAAATTATATATGATTCAGCAACAACAAAATGATTCCAGTACAGAATGGGGAAGACCTAGCTTATGACTCCTAGAGATGAGTTTCTGGTGAACTACAACTTTATCGGTGCCAACAGCATGCAGGTGGTTGTTTAGATGACCGACCGACTGACCAAGCAAACTACCAGTATTTGGCCACATTAACAGTCTCATCCCAATGATTCCACTCCAAGTGGATTAGATCCCACCCAGGGACTGAAGCAGGTTATAAGAACCCCTGAACTAGCAAGTTTACTATGGACAAGAAGAGGGTAAATACTTCAAAATATGTAAATGAATGTTGTGTGCAAGAGGCATACGGACACAAGACTAATGGCAGACTTAACAGGAGTAGAATACGTGGTCCGAAATAAGAACGCAGCAACAAACCAGATGACTAAGAAAATAGGCCACTGCATGAACCCGTGTGCTCCCAGACCCTGGACACAGGCGAAGTGAGACTGCTCAGGAGAAAGCGCTATGAAGGGTGGAAGACTGCCCTGGACAGTGGCCGCCGAGGGCTTTCAGCTGCTGCTGTTTGGAGATGGGTGTGCTTATAACTTGTATGTGGGAAAGGCACGAAACTCTGGCTGAAAGGAACTTCCTTGCATAAGTGGAAATTTTTTGGTTGGAAAAAAAAAATGGGTAGAGCCTTTAAATAGTACTTCTTAAAAATAATTTTCCTTTATCAAAGAAGATGAGAGAAGAGAGAATAACTTTAAGACCTCCCTTTGTTATTGCCTGCTGACAGTATACCACAGGCAGAGTTCCCTGGCGCTTCACTCCCTGACCGTAAGGTCTTCAGGGCTCCTGGGTTCCTCCTGGCTGGCTCTCTTGGCCGGACATGGGTTTGCACACAAGGCATGTGTGGAGTCTGTGCCCCTTAACTTGAATGATACTTTCTATTTACTTTTTCTTTCTTTTCTTTTTTTTTTTTCTGAAAGCAGGAATCGGAAACATTTTTCAAACAAGTGGGGAGCTTCCTTTCTATTAAGGGCCAGTGACTAAGAGAAAAAGGATCAATGAGGTTTAAAAAAAAAGGGGAGGGGAACTAGCCAGTTTAGCCTTGGAGGGGCTAAGGCCTAGGATTATAAAAAGCTCAACCCAGGGGCACCCGGGTGGCTCAGACAGTTAAATGTTTGGCTCAGCTCATGATCTCAGGGTCCTGTGATCACGCCCCTCGAGATGAACCCTCACATGGGGCTTCCTGCTCCAGCTTCCTGCTCAGCGGGAAGCCTGTTTCTCCCTCTGCCCTTTCCCCGCTCTCCGTGTGAGTTTTCTCTCTCAAATGGATAAATAAAATCTTAAAAAAAGTTCAACCCAGCTACTTTTTGAGTTAGGAACTAGAAACAAAGAATTTCATTAATTATCAAGACTAGAAGGTTTAATATGCCCGCACAAAGATGTGCTGACAAATGGTCACACAGCATTACCCAGAACAGCCGAAAAGTAAAAACCACCCAAATGTGCTGCAACAGGCAAATGGATAAACAAAACATGACATAATCCATATAATGCAATACTATTTGGCCACACAAAGGAAAGAGATACTGATACATGCCACAGCACACATGAACTTCAAAAACGTGATACTGAAAGATGCCAACTGAGAGATGCCAACTGCAAACGATTTCATTTATGTCAAATGTCCAGAGAAGGCAAATCTAGAGAGAGAAAGATTACTGGTTGCCAGGGGCTGGGAGTGAGAATGAACTTTAAAAGGCATGAGGACCACAATGAGGTGACAGAAATGCTCTAAAACTGGATTATGGTGACGGTTACACAACTTGGTAAATTTACTAAACAGCATTGAATTGTACACCTAAAATAGTGAATTTGATGGTGTGTAAATTATACCTCCATAAAGTTGTTTAAAAAGAATATGTTTATTTAAAAATCTTTAAAGTAATCTCTATGTCTAACAGGGTCTTAAAGTCATGACCCTGAAATCAAGAGTTGCACACACTACCAACTCAGCCAGCCAGCCCCCCCCATCCATGTTTACTTTAAATTATATTATTGCCTTTTAAGAGAAAAGGGGGCATTTGGGGCAAAAGTGGCCGGGAGGGGAGAAAAGAAATAAAAGGGGATTATCAAGGTTTACAA